ACAGCAGCAGAGAGGGCTGAGAGGAAGCTGCACCTGCACCTCATCCCCTCGCCCCAGTCCACCAGGCACTATGCCTGCCCACCTCTCACTGTTGTTCTAGACCTCTGCACTGGCCTCAGGTTCCTGTTCCATCCACCCTCCCTTCCTCCTCATGAAAATAAAAGGCATCAGCGAATTGGGCGATTTCAGCGAAAAGCAGCTAAGAAACACTGTACACCTATCCATGGCAAGGAGAGTGCCCAGGACGGGAGGAACCTGCCACGCACCTTCTAACACCTCCAATTGGCTTCTTGTCTATTGCAGCCCAAGGAAGGCAAACAGGGCGTGGTCAGGATTTCTGGGCACTCTGGCCTATAGCTCCAAAATGGGGCCGTACGTGGGGGCCATCCCTTACCGGTTCCTCTAAAAGCCCATTCCCTTGCTGCTGAGACTCACCGGAACCAAAGGGCAGCGAACACCCTTCTTTCTCACCTGGCCTAGAAAATTTAAGGGTTTCAAATGCCATGTCGATCGATATCTGTTAGGTTGTATAAATATCTCCAGGCAGGAATCAACTAGTTACACCCATCAGGACACTGTGGAATCTTTGGTGCAAAACTTTTGGCATTTGCTAGGACTTGATGAACAATAAAACTGAACTGTTTCCGTTCTAAGCTGATATGTGCCCTCTTTGCTTTATTCAACGTGGGGGATCAACTAAGGGCGGTACAGATTTTGCAGACCTGCAGAAACTGAATCTCCAAATACCAGGGAATATCAAGAAGCCCTGTTTTGCAGACATGGGGGTACCCCGAAGCCAGAAATGTCAGACGACACTCAGATGGCAGAAGCAGGATTGAAACAGAGTCCAAGCCCACAAGCTGGAATTTACAGAAAAATGCAATGCTGACTTTCTTCAGGGCCACGAGGCAGTCCCTCCTCACTGTGTCCTAAAAGCAAACCTTCCACATGAAAGTCTTCCCTTAAAAAGAAGAGGTGGCAGCTAAATTTCCTAAAACCTAGAATGGAAAAAACAATTCAGAAGATTTCTGGTCTCCCTCTGGATTCACTGCTAGGCGAGTCAGGAGGACAGTTCCATAGAGTGAAACAGCCCGTTGCCATGTTACAGCCTCAGACAAAAGCAGATAAACAATCTCCTATTTTTTTTTTAATATTTATTTTGGGAGAGGAGGATTGGAGAGAGTCCCAAGCAGGCTCTGAGCTGTCACAGCAGAACCCAATGAGGGGCTCAAACTCACGAACCATGTGAGCATAAAGAGTCAGATGCTTAACCAATTGAGCCACTCAGTCACCTCTTCTCTCTCTCTCTCTCTCTCTCTCTCTCTCTCAATCTCTCTCTCTCAATCTCTCTCCAAATGTTAAAAAAAAAAAAAAAATCTTCTAAGGCCTTTCTCAGTTTGGAGAAACAAACAGTACCGACATGCCCCTGGGGGCCTATGACATGGCACCAACTTCAGCACTGCCACAATTAAATGAATGCCTCCCAGATTCAGAAGTCCAAGAGATTACGAATTTGAAATCTGGACAAATACAAAGTTGAAATCCTCAAACAGGTTGTGGTATATTCATGCCCTAATCCCTGGAACCTGTGAATGTTACTTACATGGACAAAAAGGAGGAGTGGGGGGTTCCCTTTGTAAATATGATTAAGGACTTTAAAATGGGAAGAGTACCCTGGGTTACCCAGTTAGGCCCTAAATGCAGTCACGTGTGTCCTTCCAAGGGAGAGGGAGATGTGAAGGTGGAGTGAGGTGGCCACAGGCCAAGGCGCACCAGGGCTCCAAGGAGCACCACATGAATGGATCCTTCCATAAAGCCTCCAGAGGGAGCACAGCCCTGAGCTCCAAGACTGTGGGACCATCCATTTCTATTATTTTAAGCCAAGGTTTGCTGACTTGTCACAGGAACTGATACACGGTTTAGTATTAATTTTCTCTGCCTCCCTCCCTCAGCCACCACACACAAAAGGGCCTATTATGTGCCAGGGACTGTGAGGGGTACAGAAGACAAGGCAGAGGACCTGGCCTTTATGAGCCCACCATCCAGTAGCATAGCTGACAAGGCCACAAATGTGCTGGGCTATGAGGCATAACAAAGCCAAGCATCCAGCATTATCCCCCAGGGGACGGCCACGCTGGAAGGTTTCATGGGGCAGGTGATGTTTCCACTTGGCTCTGAAGGGTAAAGCTGGATCCCGACAGGTGGAGGCAGGAAGTAGTCTAAATCAAGGTCAAAGAGTGACACTGACTAATAAGTATGTGAGGCATGCTAGGAACCAGTGGAAGGTCAAGGAGAGGACAGGCTGGGAGACTTGACCAGAAAGGCAAGTTGAGGACAGATTGTGTGATGCCTGAATGGCAGGCCCAAGACCTACTCTCCTGTAAGGTGAGCTCTCTTTGTGCCAGCCCTGAGGGCAGTTCAGCAAACACCATGCATGTGAGCCAGCACCCATGAAGCCACTCAAAAAACAGATTTGGTGGGGTGCATGGGTGGCTCAGTCAGTTAAGCATCCAACTCTTGATTTTGGCTCAGGTCATGATCTCACAGTCGTAAGATTGAGCCTTACATTGGGCTCTATGCTGAGCATGGGACCTGCCTGGGATTCTCTCCCTCTCTCTCTCTCTCTGCTTCTACCCTGCTCCCACATGTGTTCACCCCCTGCCTCTCTCTCTGTCTCTCAAAAAAAAAAAAAAAAAAAAAAAGGGTTTGGCAATCATGTTGGAAACAGAGTTCCAAAGGCGTGCCATAGTTTGGACATTGAGGAAGAAGAACTAAGGATCGTGCCCACTGAGCGTGGAGTCCCAGCCCTGACACTGGGTCTGAAAATGAATGAGTGCTGGGGGGTGTATGAGAAGAAAAAGCATAAGGAGAAGAAAGGGAGAGAGGAGGAGGCAGACCTGGGGCTTCCTGCCAGAATGTTTGTGTTCCTCCCTCCACATTGTGTACCCTCCCTCTGTGCCAGGAAACCACGCCAGCAGGCCAAGCCTCTGATGGTACCTGTCCAGCTGCTGCCAGCAGGTTTGGTTAGACTGTGCCTTTGCTCAGGCCTGTGACTCCTGCTGCTGCTCTTAATAGGTGAGGAACCACCATCGGTTCCCACTGGGGTCTCTGCCAGGTCCGTGCCCATTTGGATCTTGAGCCTAGTAATTAGGTCTAGAGGAATCACAGGGGCCAGGGGGCAGCTCTGTTTGGATAGACTCAAGAAAGCTCAACTGCTTCTCTGAACTTGGCCTCTTTGGGGTCTGCAGTGGGGAGCCAGCGAGGCCGGCCGGGAGGCTTCAGCCTTACCTGCCAACGTGTCCTCAGGAGAGGGCCTGGGGCGGCTGCCTCCCCGTCTGCCATCAGTGAGAAGCTTGTGTTGATGGAACCAGAGCACACCGAGGAGCACGGGACAGAGGAACGAGTGCTGAACCGGGGGGCAAAGACCCAGACCCAAGCCCTCCCACCTGTAAGCTGTGTGGCCCTGGGCAGTTCCCTAACGGCTCTGAGTCTCCGCTTCCCCTTTTGGAAAATGGGGATTCGATTCCTACCCAGCCCGCTTCACAGGGTTGGAACAATGAAGGGTTCCTGGGAAAGCATTTTGCCTTTTATAAAGTGCCACGTTAAGTATGAGGGGCCGTTAGCAGAGAGGACTTGGGCTCCATCTCCTGAGAGTGGGGGTGGGCAAGAGTTTGGGTCCCACCGCCTCTGTCCGTCTCATGCACAGTACTTCCCTATGCTCTGAGGGGCCGTGGGCCCCTCCTCACAGCAGAAAGACAGAGGCTTCTTGCAGGTGTGAACCTGGCAGGCCTCCCTGGCACTGGCAAGGCCCGGGGCAAGGGCCCACACAAAGGCCATTTCCCATATGTCTCATATTTAAAAGTCATAAATCAAGCTAACAAACCGTTAAATGAAATATGCTCTGTCCTCCTACCTTGTTAAATACATCTCTGTAGCAACCTGGAAGGCCAAGAGTGAATTCAGAACTCTGGGATTCCTTGGTATCCGTGCCAGGACCTGGCTGAGTGGAGAAGCCTGGCCAGGCGCTGATCTGCCCCGCCTCCCTTCCCACCCCTAGCCTCTCTCATCATCTTATGGGGCTTCACACGCAGATGTGAACATCTGATCTCACATTCAAGTTCTGTCCACATCCCCCACCAGTCCTCGGGCCCAGGGTGCACATGTCCGTGACATGGGCTGGGGAAGAGGCTGGGAGAGGCATGGGGCTATTTGGACCGGACCACTAGGGTGGGCTAGAAGGAGGGGCTCAGGCACCAGGTAAATGACTCAGAAAAAGAGACTTAAAAGAAGTGTCACAACATCCAACCCTGTCCTGATTTTTCCCCTGATTTTTTTAAACATTTTTCAAAAAACGATACTTTGGGTTTCTCTACTATGCTCATGCCCTTTAGTACACAGCCAGCCAGCACCGTGATGATGTGCTGTCCTTCCCCATACCTTTCTACAAGAGAAGGAGACGCGGTGGCCTCCTTTCCAATGTCTTTAAAGAAACTGACACATTGCTGGCCCGAGGGGATAAGGTTTCAGTGGCCACAGGGTATTCAGCTTAGAATCAAGTGACAAACCCATCAGCCAACATCCTGTCTGTGCTGAGCACATGGTCCTCAACCCCAAGGAGTCAGGCTGCTGGGAGCGCCTGGGGATGGGGTCTCCTGGTGTTTGAGTCATTTAAATTGGGTGGGGGAGGATGGAGGAGGATCCCTACTGAGCACTGACTGGGCAACCTTTGGCCAGGTCCTGCACCCTTCTGTTCAGGCTATCTGTGTGGCCAACAAGGGACTGTGTGAGTGACAGTCAAAGCTCCCCTTGCTTCTCCTGAGTTCACCGCTGGCCCCACCGAAGGCCCAGTTTCAGAGAAAGAGGCTGAGAGCACAGACCTCTGCCTGATTTATTCAGGTCCACTTCTCAGAAGCACAGAGGTCACAGGCTGTTTGGGGGGATGCCCCCCCCCGAAACCCCATCCACTGCCTGCTGCGGAGACGCCGACAGTGCAAACTCACCAGGCACCATCCCTGTCAGCGTCGGTGCTGAGTAGCTGCCTTGTCCGGCGGGGGGGACGTGCGGAGGGTACCCGGGGAGGGTCGTGCTCGCCAAGTCACGGCCTGAGGAATCAAAGCAACAAATCACGGGGTGAGTGTCTCCGTGGCCAGCCGCTCATGTCCACAGCTCCTGGGACATCTGCACATTTGTCACGTCTGGGCGCTGAACGCCAGCGTGCAGCACCCCCCCCCCCCATCACTCATGCATGCACACACACACATGCACACACGCACACACGCACACCCCTCCAGCCACCCTGGCTCCACTCAGCAGGAACCCAGGCCAGCTCTGCTGCTTCCCTGGGAAAATGGAGCTCAGGCCAGCTCACTTTGCAAGAGCTAGAGTAGCACTTGGACTTCTCCCCCTCCACACCTTTGCTTCTGCTGTGCCTCAGCACGAAGCACCCTCTCCTCCAACCGCGGGCAACCCAACACCGCCCACCTTCAAAGCCCAGCTCAAACACCTCCCTCCTCCTCCTGCTCCTCCTCAGACCCCTGACTGAATTCCTCCTTTGGCCTCCAGCTAGTCAGTCACTCAACAAAGGTGCAGGAAATGTACTTCCTCACACCAGACACTGTTCCGGGCCCGGGACGTGGAGATTCAGGCCTCGGCTGTTGCAGGCAGACCCTCTGTGCTCCTCTCTCTTTGCAGGCTACCAGCTCCCAGGTGGCAGGGCATTCATGCACCACAGAGGTTGGAGCCTTGTGGGCCCTGAGTAAATGCAGAATGAATGGTGTGCAAATGTGCTGGATTTCACGTGATGCAGAAGAAACCGCAGGCAGCAGAACTCGGCGAGGGAGGTGCCACTGAGGTGCGCCTGCCACTTAGGGAAAAAGAGCCACAGCCCTTTCAGGCATTGCCAGTTACGTGAACGTGACAAGGTGTTCATGGGTAAGGCAGTACCCCGGATGTTGGGCAATCAGACTGTTCTGTGGTTATATGTGTTGGGCCCTGAGGACAAAACCCCACCCTAGTGGGTGGAAGTAGGTTGCTCCTGGAAAGAAGGAGATGCACTGGCCTTAGCCATCCCGGGAAGCAGGTGGGAAACAAGGTAGCCTTGGGACAAGGGAGGGAAAGTGGATCCTTGACCTCCTCTGAATGTGGACACTGAAGACTGGGTGGGGGCTCCTGACCATGAAGAGCCAGACCAGGTACCAGGACCCTCCCCTGGGGCCCAGCAGGGTGGTGCAGGCTCTACCACAAGTAGATGGCTCTGAGTTCAGCCCCATTAGCAGGTGGCCCAAGGGGAGGGACCAAAGAATCACTCCAAACACTCCCCAAAGAAGCCAAGCCAGCACATGGTATGAGCCGTGAATGTTCCCCAGATAAACCAACAGCCTTTCTAGTGCCAGTCATTCAAAGACTGTCCGGCCAGCAGCCAGAGGCTGCCTCATTTCACAGGGTTCTGCTTACCTTCCAGAACCTTACGGAACACCAGGCATGTTGCTGCCCCTTGCCTCTGCTCGCCACCACCCTGGCTTTGGACTGGGCATCCTAGCTTGTGACAAGCACTGCTCATGTCTCGTTGTATGAGGCATTGTAAGGGGAGCAAATGAACTGCACACATGACTCCCCACAAGAGCTGACATTAAACAGAAAACTGGAATTGGCAGAACTGACCGTTTGCAAAGTGATTTAAGGAGGTCCCCCCACCTGCCCTCTTATACCTTCCCATCTCATCCTCCTCAAACCCAGCACCCACAGCCCTCTATGGCAGCTCCTCTCTCTAGAGTGTAAGCTCCAGGGTCAAGTCGCTAAGGTCTTTGTGCGCTAAGGTCAGATAGCATAGGCCTGCAAAAATCTACTGTCTCATTAATCAAACGAGGTTAGAAAGAAATATATGTTAAGTGAAGGAAGGAAGAGGTCTGTTGGAGCAGCAGAGCTCTCTGGAGCCTAGAAAAGTCCCTCCATTTGTGGTCAAGAATCAGTGAAGGGAGGGCCCTTGAAGCTCTTCTTGACCAACCCCTGTTGCCATTCTGCAGATGGAAAAGCTGAGACCCACGGTGGGTGGGGAGCAAATGGCTCAGGTTCCACAGGGAGCAGATGGCAGAGCAGGGACCTCAGCCCACATTTCCTAACGTCAACCCAGGACCCTCCTCTACCTTAAGCAACATCGTGGTGGGGGTGGGAAGAGCACTCACACCCAACACAGAGCCCTCTCCACACTGTCACGGAGCCTTGGTGACCCGAGGGCTGCTGCAAAGGAAGAGGAGCGACCATAAGTGTCAGACTAGTTGGTACAAGATCAAAATGCCAGGGGACAGACCGTGAGACGTGTAGAGAAAGCAGCCATGGCTGGGCTGTTCCGATGGGTGTGGAGCTCTGGTCCCCAGCACCACCCCCAGGCTCATGCCCCCTGCCCCCGATGATGTCAACAAACC